ATACCGTGATTGAAAGTAATCATAAATTCATTGCTGAGATCAAAAAGAGGCAAATCGCCCGAGGCGATAATTCATTAACCGAAAGAAAAGCGTCTCAAACTGAAAACTAGGCTAAACTTTATGTGTTTAAATTTTTTAGCCGTTGATCCCGAATTTCCGATCGTGTATGAAAATAAATTTCGTGCAAAAGTGAAAGAGAGGCGTTCTGTTTTATTTCTGAAACGTGCCGTCATTGTTCGTTTAACAGCTTTAGATTAAAAGAGTTCTGTTCGAAAATCAATTAAAACGCATTTTAATAAAAACCCAACGGTAAATCATTTTCGATTTAATGAACATTCACTCCTTTTGAGCTCATAAACAACACACTGACTTGAGAAAAAAAACGGTTTATTCGTTTCGATGGCACATCTATTTGTTTACATTGCCGCTCGTCTTGTGATGTCATTCCGAATTTGCGAATATTAAAATCGATGCGTATCCGGAAGCGTTCGAACAGAAAAAAACCGAGTCAGGCGACAATGGTTTCAGCAAAAATTTGCACGTGCATTCTCTCTCTCACTGTTTTCAACACGTTTGAGCCGACAGCGTTTTTATGTAAAAGGAGTGCCGAGTTGAGATTTGTTGTGCGTTGTGTGTTTTTTTATTCGGCCAAAGCAGCAGTCAACACATTTGGAGAGAAGGCAAGCAAAATAATTTGGTATGGAGCCATGTGTGTGTGTGTGATGACTTACTTCTACTTGAGAATTATTCTTTAGCTTCGTCAGTGTGCTAACACTGTGTTTTGAGTACGTGACGCAATTAAAAATGCACGGCCCAAGTCGTTGTTGTTGCATTGCCTTTTGCTCTGTTTATTCTCTCCTTTTATATGAATTTCGATTGGGCTTTGTGTTTACAACGGAAGAAAAAAGAACGGTTCTCAAAAGGCTTTAGTATTTTGTAATATGTGGATTTATTATGTGGATAAATCTGAAGTTTACCGTTGATCATTATTGTAAAATTAAAGAGCGCGCGTTTCGATATGTATTCCTTTAATTCTTGTTTTGATTGTTTTTGCTGCAACAACAACAACAACAAAAAGGCAGCGAATGGTGAAAACGAAGTAATTGGATGCCAAAGTGACTTGATGCGGCAACAGCTTGTGTGCTAACAGATTGAATTGAATTTGAGATTGACTTGAATGCATTTCATTTGGTGTCTTTGTGCGATGCCTTTGTTTTTTTTTTCCTTTCTTCCTTTGTTCAATTTCAAATTTTGGACGCAGAACTGCAATAAGTCAAGTAATTGTGGCAAGCTTTCAACTGTTTGATGACCATATAAAAAAGTGCATATATCATGTGTGATTAATGCTGAAAACAAAAGTGCAACGAAACACAAAAATAAAACACTTTGTTGCCGGCTGTTGTTGTTGTTGTTGTTGTTTCGGTCGTGCGAAAATTTATGAGCATTATCCGATACTTAGGACCCCAAAGAAAAGGCGTACTTTTTTCAAGTGTGGAAATCGAATGAAAATAAATTACTTATTAAATATTGTTTTTCTCTTGGCCGAATGAGAGATTTCTTTTCGCCACATTCATTTTGCGAGCTTAAAACAAGAGGAGCAAAAGGTGCTTCTAAATCATCGAATGATTAAAAAATCATTTTTCGTCGCTCTCTCTCTCTATCTCTCTCTCTCTCTCTCTCTCTCTCTCTCTCTCTCTCTCTCTTCATATAATTACGATGTGAGAAAAAAAATCAGCACTCGATAAGTCTTTTTCGCTTTCACTTTGCCAACCACGATATCGATATACCTTCCACACCGATTGGATGCTTAACGAATTTCAGCTAATTACTTTACTGATAAGCTAACCATTTGGCCAAATTTCCATAGCGCTGTGTTTCATAAAATGAAAGTCGGAAATTTGTGTACAAAAAGTTTCTTATCTCATCAGCAGGCCACATAATGGCGTTTTTTGGTCGAAAATTAAAAGCATTTTTTAGCATTTGAAGTATCTGTAAAAGTCAACTAATGTGTCAATTAATCAGTGATACCGAAATATTAAAGAGTAAAATTAATTCTTGGAAATGTGCAGAAGAATGTGCCTTTTAAACACATTGTGCGGTATGCTATGCGTGCACGAAGTAAATGAATTTCGAAATAAAACATGAAATTGTGATTTAAGTCCATTTGAAGAGAGCCTGACTGAAGAGTGCTGCACAGACACACACAATATACGTGTTACGCAAGGCAGTCAATAGCAATGACGGAGCCTGATTTATATTGGATGAGCAAACAACATCCGAATGATACAAAAGTTTCTCTCGATGTGTATTTTTTTTCTTCTCTTTTTCTTCTCGTTGTTTTGCTCACAGTTCGTGCTGTCATGAAAACATTGCAGACTCAATGATATCCACATAATATTCATAAGCTTTGAGAGTATAACTCGATTGTATGTTGTATTATTGCCGATTGTGAGATAAAATTCCAAAAAAAAAAAATCGAAAAAACGAAGGCGAAACTCTCAAGAACGAAAGAAATGGACAAAGAAGATGCAAGAAGGAACAGATTGTCTGTGTGCAGCTTATGTTACGTTCGGTCGGTTGGTCAAGCGATCGATCGGCCGAAATAAAACAAAAAAAAAAATACATTCAAACTGTATACACAAAATCAAAACATGTAATTGAGCGTTTGGTTGCTGGCCATTCGATTGCTGCGTGAAAGTGATTATATGAAGTGAACTCTTTGATGCTTTGCGTTGCACAATGATTCCCTCACACCTCCAACAATCAGCCCAAGCCTGAACATATATAAGTATGTTTCGCTTGAGTAAAGACATTGTTCTTGTTTTTTCTCTTGTCAGAAATCATATTTTGATTGGCGAACGATAGCTGATCAACTCAAAAATACGTCAATTATGGCAACATAATTGTCTCACGTCATAATCAAGTCAAGCACACCGTTAACACAGTGCAACACAGTTTTGAAATCACGATTCCAAAGAAAAGGCTGCGTTTTAAGAGTAACACTTCAAGACTTCAGAAGAAAACATAATTGTTTATGTAACATTTCGAAATGTAAAATTCTACGCAATATTTTATTCCAACTTCAAAGGAAAAAGTTTGGAATTCAAATTTTATTCGTCAGCGTGAAGAGAATTCTTTCCTTTTTTATTTATTGAAAAACAGTTTTCTTTTAGGTTTTCTGTGTTAACGAATAATGCACAGTTGTTTATTAGAAAAGCGGTGAATCGAATTCTAGATGGTATATTTATCACAGTGCAATAAAAATCACACATCAACAAATTGGACTGTACGTACATTAATTCAACGATATAATAAATGGATATGTGGTGCCCATTATTTTGCGTACAAGAGCCAAATGTCAGTGTAATTACTGGATTATTTGTGCACATTTCGCAATCCATCTGTTGAGGTTGAATCAATAAAAGTCTCGTGCGGTAAAAAATTCAATTCAATTTATCAAGTCGTTGCACGATTCCAAAGAAACATTTGAAACGAGCATGATCATTACACGCTGACGGTGTATATGCTATTTAAGGAAGTTATTGGAGTTTTTGAATTAGTGTGTAATGTGAAAATTTTCTCTAACCATAGTGTATAATCAGCATGTTCAATGTTCATTCTGTGTTCTCAATGCAAATGCGTGAGTGAGTGATCGAATGAAAAGGATGCGGCTTCTCTGTTTTGAATTTATTTTGAGAAACGAACCGTGCGCCGAAAATCTGACACACATTTTGCACCAGAATGAGTCAAGCTTCCGAAGTTGAATGCACAACGGCGCACTAAATCTAACACTTTATCGTGTTGTTTACAACCATTGCCCATAATTGATGATTATTGAACGAAAAAGAACTCTTTCATAGAAATAGATCTCTTTTGTAAATCGATTGGAATGGGCTTTTCTTCCACTTCGACTCTCTCGCATATTTTTTTTAATGATTTCATTCATTACTTGGAATATGCCGGTATTTTGAATATATATGTTGCAAAGAGACTGGAGTCCAATAAGTTCAAACGGATTTTTCAAAGACTATTCACACACACACCGTATGATCTATAGAAGCTTGGGAATCATGTTTAATTTCGCAAAATGTACGTAATTGGCAAGATGCAGTCAGAAGAAAATGCGAAACTTATTGAAAAAAGCCGACTATTTGTTTCGTATGCTGACGCTAAGATTTGTATAACTGTTCTCATGCGCAATAATTTAACAACACCGTGCATATAGTAACAAAATGGAAAACCAATGAATTTTACAATTTAATAAATTGCTTTTGCTCGTTCAAAAGGCATAGAATGGACCTTTTTTTTTTCTGTTCAATTGATCGAATATACCGAAAGTCGATTTTTCCAAAATTCATATACATTTTAATATTGTAAACAAGAGTGTGGAAAAAATAACAATTTCCAGTATACTATTCAAATGGAATTCTCCTGATGTGAGTAATTCACGTAAATAGAATTTGACATTGTAAATTAAAATTATTTTTGATTGTTTGTATTTAAGTTTTTTGCGTTTTTATGAATTGTTCTATATATTTTTTTTTTGCATTTGCTGCCATAGTACTGACTTTATCTTATCATACGATAATTTATCGCATCCATCATTTTGTGTGCTATTTTGATTTGCATTCCTCAGATAACGATGGAATTTATCCAATTGAGTTTATCGTTATTTCTCTCACAGGTATTGCGTCAAAGCAAAAAATAAAACGAACAATAAAACGCCAAAGCCGCGAATTTTTTTGGAATGATGACACACCAAGATACAGTCCAAATAATAATATACAGTCGCGAATTGTTTTTCACTCCAAAAAAAAACACATCGTCGAAAAACACTCTCTTCAATAAGTCCGATTTTCATATTCGCTGCAAAGCCATAATTGCATTTAACGAGATCACGTTCGAATCGCGCTGCCAACCCAAATCTTCTCAGACGATTACTAAAGGAAGTTTTGCAAATTGATTTTTTTGTTTTGTTTTTTTTTGTGCGTAAATTACAGGTTTTTATTGACATGATTATCGAGATAGAGGTTTCGTTTCAATTCGGTGTTTTTTGGCAGCACGCATTTGGAAATTATAATGGATTTTTCATACGGTGATTCAAGAGCGCACATGGCCAATAATCAAAGTGAAACCGTGATCAAATCACCCTTGGCGATTATGTCGAACAAAACGAATGCGGCAAATGAACGTGGCAACGTTCATTCGAATGGAAAAGAATGGAAAAGGTAAGTATGCAACTGTAGTTTTTTGTTTACCGTAATCTGAGCAAGTGAACGAAATGAAAACGCTTCAAATGCAAAATTTGCCTAGTTTTCGGCGCTTTTACATTCGATTCTCTTTCGCAGAGCAATACCAGAGGCTGGCTATATCACACTGGGCACCATTCGATATGGTGTGAAATTGAGTCAGGGTTGTCTTTCGTCGAACTGTACACATTTCCGGTCATCGTCACTTAGCATGGCCGAACATATTTCGAAGGCGTATTCATCAAGGAATTCCACATCAGATATTCATTCGTTGAGCAGCGAACATGACACAGAACCACAAAGCATAAATGGTTTTCGGAGTATTGTTGAAAATACAAATTCGTCCGTTCATTCTTCGTCAATGCCAAATGTGTGCGATAGCGACAATAGTGATGTCACTTCGGTGAGTGGATCATGCTGTTTGAATACGAAAAAATGCTCCCTTCCTTGGATCAACAAAATGGACAATCCAAGATCAAGCGATTTATGTAAGTTTTCTTTTGTTGTTGCAACGGTAGCTAAACAGAACGATATATAAATTTGGGTTAGTGGGTGTGTCTGTGAGTAAGAGGAGTCATGAAGAATCACCTCATTTTCCGTCTTGATCGAATGAATAATAACAAAAATGTCTCAATGATAGCTATTTATTCAGGATAGAGCGATCGACATAATGAAAATAAGCGCATTCGCGCACATAAACACCAACCAATGTAAACACATGCACACGCGCATATCATGCTGATCGTTCATCAGTTCAACATACACACACATGGCTGTGTGTTGTTTAAAAATAAAGTTGCTTTCTCTTTTTCACAATTCGGTTAGCATTTTTCATTTTTCAAAGTCGATTTTTCTTCGTTCGCGCGAACGGAAAACACTGTGAAAGTAGTATGTCGATCGGGTGATTGTTTCATGTCTCTGTGTCTGTCTCGCATGCGTAGCGCATGCTCACAGTTATTTTTTTTCTTCTAAATGTGCATTTACTTATTGTGTTGTGGCTGAATGAGTGTGCGTGCGTATGTTCGTGTGTGTCAGGCGTGCTCGGTGCGATCTGAATTGTGATTCACATAATCTTACACGTACAAAAGTCAGTCAGATTGAATTGATGATTTTTATTTTTGTTTCCAGCCAAGAATAGAATGGTCGGTTCGGGCCGAAGCCAGCCGAATGAATCGGTCACTTGTGCAAGTGATCAACAACAGCAGCCATTTTCCAACTACGAAGCGAATAAAGTCAGTAACAAATCAACGAACGTTAATCCAACATCGGCTAATTTGACACTGTGCGGCGATTATTCTACGGTGGAAAATAAAAATCGTCAACAATTTTCAACGCCAATTTGTTGCCACATTTCAGCAAATCAAATCGATAATAGTCATAAATCAATCACATCGAGCGAACACAAACACCCCGTACATTATCTGGATGTCGTTGGGAAAAATCAGAATAAACGTAAAAATCGCCGTCTATCGCCTACACATCACCAACACCATCATCATCATCATCATCATCACCATCATCAGCAGCAGCAACAGCAGCATCACCAAATCGAGTGCGAGTGTTCGCCGTTGCATGCGAGAAAATTAAGCGAATATCCCACAGCCAAACCATGTCACAGTGAAAATCGAAAAATAATCAAAGTTGCCCATAAATTCAATAGCAATGTTGTTCATTCAATCGGCGATCAGTCATGGGTTGACGCAAATAAAGTGAATGGCTTCAGCAGCAACAGCACCACCACCACCAGTGATTTCCACGTAAATAAAGCAAAATTCCATTGTTTAGACTACGATCAGTGTTGTTTTTGTTGTTACAGTGAATGCAAAAAAGGCTCACGATTTAAAGCCACCAATTATAAATGTTATGATCAATCAGTGGAATGTTCGCAACCGCATAAGAACCCATCGAATCTGTGTTGTATTGGCAGTGAGGCAATCGTTCCAACGCATTTAAATAATAATTGTAAATCGTATAAAAATCAAAATAATGATCAAAATTCGTTTTGTAAATCAGACACAACCACTGAAACGGATATTTTGGAAGCGAACAAGTGTTTAGAGCATGACAATTTGTATCATCATTCAGCGCAGTTCTATGTTGATTACGCGATCCAGCCATCAACACAACGCAATCAAAGTGATAAATGTGCAAAATCTCAAAAGAGAAAAACTGACCCAATAACAATTTCAAATGAAACGCCATTGAATTATTTGCGACGGGTTCAAACGACCAATGAAAATTGTAGTGATTGCATTGGACAATTGGATAAAACGTTCATCAAACAATTGAAACGTCTTCAATCGATCGATTATTCCTCGAAACCTCCGCCAATTCTCGCGGAAGTATTAGTTCCAATAGTTCAAGAAGATCAACAGAAATTGGTGTGTTGCTCGAAGAATGTGACAGCTGTACGAAAAACGGCCACTCTGTTTATGATCGGTAGTGATAGCTCCACTTTAGTTGGAAGCCAACCAAAACTTAAAGATAAATCGGAACTTGTGCGCGACGATGACTTTGTCGACACGTGCCAACAAAATTCAGCGAATAACAACGATTTGAAAACGCAATACAATAGGAATATCGATAGATGTTGTGAACCATATAAATCCATTGACAGTAAAATTCATCGATTGACGTCAATTTCAGCAGCCAAAGAATCTCATTCAAAAACGGCCAACGAACGTAATCAAATCATAAATTATAAAATACGCGCTGATCGTACGCATAAACATTTGAAAAGTGATTGTGATGAGAATCGGGCAGAGGATTGGGAGAAAAGTCAACGCAACGACAACGACGACGACGACGAACAACAACACTGCCACAACGGCAGAGGCAATGATACATTCGACAACGAAGGCGTTAACGGTGACAACGACGAGTATTTGTGTCATTTGGAAAAATTAAATTTAGCTGATACAACAACTGCTGGTTCAGTCGCCGTCACCACTGCCGAACACACAGAACAAAAATTTAAACAAAAAGTCGCACACATTTCATCGACGTATCGAGACTACGACGACGACGACGAAAACGGCGCCACAACAACACACACCACACCAGCTGCTCCATCATTAACGGTGGAAAATGAACTTTTTGCCGTTGACAAATCAAAACAAAGTGAATACCAAGTGAATTGTATTGAATGCACGGATCAAAGTGCAATCACATCGAATGATCAGTGCAAAATTATCGAAACGATCGACCATAGTGTGGAAGCAAGTGTGAAAGCGAGTGAAAATAACCGTGAATTGTGCATAAATGATGATGAAAACACGGATTCTGAACCAAGTGTAAATTTATTGTCTCATGAAAATTTAGTCTTAAGTGCAAATACTGAGAATATTTCAAACGAAGAGTGTACACTTTTTGAACATAAACCCATTCAAGCTTCATCGTCTGAATATCAAAATCATCGTCTTTTCAATCGACGAGCTTCATTTGATAACAACTGTGTCGAAAAGGATTTGGCTATTTTTGTGAACCATCGCCGAACGAATAGTAGCGGCGGCGAAGGATACTCATTCGACCGACAATCGAATTTAAATCGCAGTTACATTGACTCAATTTCGGACAGATATCGTAACATTCAAAACACGATTGATCATCGATATGCCCATCATTTAAGCCCAAATACCGTAAGTAGAGCAAACACGTACCTGAAATACGTGCACACATGATTTCATTTCGCTTTGAAATCAAATATATATGTGTTTTTCATCGGTTTTACGATTCAATTTGGTTTCTAAATTCCGTTTTTATGTGAGATTTAAAGTAAACAAAATTCCCACACCAAAAGAACTACCAGCCATTCTTCAATCTTTTTCATATGCATCAATTTCTGAATAAATAAATTTGCCATCGATTAAAATACATTAAATTCGTCATTTTCCAGAAAGAAAATTTGGCATCGATGTTCATTTCACTTCGATTATTTCGATGAAAATAAGATTCTTTTCGTTTCAGTCGACTAACATTTTAGGAAATGGAGAATTAAACTCATAGTCACTCGATTTGTTATGACACAATTTTCATGTGCTGGCATCACTTGTGTTTTTTTTTTAATGTCTATGAAAAATCGGATTTGAAATTGAGAAAAAGCAGAAGTTTTTGGGTGAACGAAAAAAAAAATGAATCAAGGAAAAAGGCAAAGCATTCAATCAACAGAACTGAAGTATAAGTCTGTTAAGCAGCACGTAAAATTCACTTGAATTCTATCTATTTTTTTTTTTCTTGATGAAAATTATTTTTAAATTTTTCATTTAAGAAAATGACGAAGCGAATGAACGTGCGCGCGCACATCTTTACACTCACTCACCGACTATACATGTGTGTGTATGTGTTATGTGTACGAAGTGGCTAACGCTTTTGATGTAGGCTCTTCTTTCATCTGTTTCGGTTTGGGGAAGGAAAAAAAAAACGGTTTTGCTAATTCTTGGCGTAGACATAATGAAATGTGATCTTTTTGCTTACGCGCAACTCCCACAATCAACTCTTTCACTTTCATTTTAACAGAGATACAAACATAAACGAATGACACCGACAAAAACATTCAACCACAACACACAGTGCAACATACCGATATTTGGTCGATTTTTCGAAACATTTTCGAATACAAAACGTTGTACAAATTACACAAGTCAATCTCGTGCACTTGTCAATCGCAGCCAAATGTCGCACAACGAACGCAAAGAAATACCATTACAACGAACTGAATCGAAAATCGATCGCATAGAACATGACACACGAAAAAAAAAACGATTACGCCAAACTTTACGAGAATTTCCTCGACACTTCATTCTTAAATTGCCAGATGTTTTAGTGTGTTTTACTGTCTGTTTGACTTTTCAATTTGAGAAGTACTCTCATCTTTCACAAGATTTCGTTGACTTATTGACTTTCTTTCGTAATGAAATGAAATCATTATCCTGGCCATATTTTTCAATCATAACGAAATGTAACGATCGGAACTGGTATACATTCTAAACCACAAAAGACAGGAGGAATTTCATCATTTAACTACTAATTTCATCTTAATTCATTCTTTAATTCATTCTTCTCTATTTCCCACTTTCTAACAGCAACTAAATATGGAAAAACGTCACAATACGTTGGATCGTTGGCAGCGTTTACGTTTTGGTCGAAGAGCAGCATCGAATCCACCGGAAGACAAAAAAGTGACGAATCTTGACATTGAATTGGCTAGTAAGCGATCAAGTGATAAATTGGAGCGTCTGCGTGAAATAACCGAATTGTTGAAAGGTCCACGAAATAATAGCAATACGCAGTCATCGACACCGACGAATGAAACCACAAGCAAAAATGAAATTCCACCGATACCACCGCCACGCAAACCGCGAACATCACTACACCGCAACAGTGGTAGCATTGAAAAATTCATTGACACATCGGCTTCGGAGTCGGGGAGTCCCATATTGGGCACCAAATTTGATCATTCCACCAGTGAAAAAAAAGAAAGCGACTCAACGTCAATCGGCCAGAGTTTGTTTCATGTTCCAACGCCTAAGCATTCGTTAATCGATACGCTTCGCCCGAATACCAGTGTATCGAATTTAGAAAGTATTCTAAAGACACGTGATAAAGAAAAGCCAATGTTATCGCTCCCAGAAGAAGGTAGTCCACACAGAGAAGTAGAAAAAGAGAAAGAAACGATCGTTCCAAATCGAACTGCATCGGAAACATTGCGCCCGACTGTGAATGCAAACGCACAAAAAGGGATTCCATTTCGGAGTGCGTCATTTTCACAAGTTGATTACTCATCGGGGAAATACATTCGATCAGCATTGGGCGCCCTTAAAGCATCGTTGAGTAAAGCGAAATCGCCGCCATTGAGTTTCTCATGTAAAAAGGAACGGAGTGGAAGCTCCAGCCCGGAAGATTCAAAACTGAATGAATGCACCGACATTTGGATACCATTGAAAGGGCCTTGTGATAAACGAAATGATCTGAATTTAGACTTAATAGACGCATCAGCCACAGCCAATATGATATTAGAAGAAGAGTGTGAACATTCACCAACTTCCAACAAAAGTGACACATGTATTTCGGAAAAGGTTCATTCATGGCCGATGAGGACAATCAACGCCGCACAACTGACCGTTGATTCACCGCGTGATGAAACGGCTATACAAGGCGTTGATAATTACTTTGAAACGGCCAATCCATGCTTGATTCCAATCCCAGTGTATGAATGTTCTCACACCGAATCGGCTGACCTACAACTCGGTGGCGGTGAAGTGGATAACGAAAATGTTCTGAGTGATGTTCCGAATAAGACTTTAATTGTTGAACCAAACGAAGGTGATATGCCAGCTTTTTCGGAAATTCAATCCAGACAAATGAAATTAAATGGAAGTGTTAATAATTTGAATGCCACGCACAATGACGAAAAAGAAGGTGAACGGAGTACGCGAAGCTCCAAAGCAGACGACTTAGCAGATAAATTAAGACAAAAGGCACAAAGTCCAACATTGGATATAGACGCATTGCCAGCAATTGCTGTTACACCTGGCTCAAGCGTCAGTGGATCGTCATTTGAAGAAATGGAAAATACTTCGTCACAGCAGCCAAATCGATCTGATTATAGCTCTGATTATGGGGTCGAAGTTCGCAAGCGTTACAGTAACGAAGATAAAAGCAGCAATGAAAATCGTAGCGATGACAGCAATCAATCAACATCGACATCTGGCACAAATTCGCCGAAAGGCCATCACAATGAAAAGCGGCGAATCGATAAATCGAAACGTCGGAAAGGAATGTACATTCAATGGGCAACATTGGACAAACATAATAAAGAATTGAATGCAGTTTCATGGACGGTTGGCGATGATAGTTCGAATGATTTGAGTAACGTACCTGAAATGGACAGCAACGGTCAACCAATTTGGCCAATCGGCGCATATCGAAATGAAACTCTGCAAATTGATGGCCATGAAAAAACACGCAAAAATAATTTGAACAGTTTGTCGTCATTGGAAGCCACTTCACCGGATTCAGTCTTTACAAGGGTAAATTTGGATAGTGCCGGTGTCAGTTGCGATGAAGCCACCCAACCAACATCAGCATCGTGTGATGTTTTCACACCCGACTCTGATTGCGGCCGACAACCGGTTTGGCCGCAAAGAGGTACAACTCAAACACGTCGACAAAGCCTCTCTCTGCAAAGCTCTGAGGAAAAGGATGAATCACAGGCACCATCACCGCCACCATCAAAACCACGTAGCAAAATATTCGTACTGCGTTCCGATTCCATATCAGACAATGAAATGAGTGATAGAACGCCACCACCTCGGGATCGAACAAGTCAAAGTCCGGCACCCGATCATGATTTAAAACGATACTCAAAACGACCACTGCGAGGGCCATACGGTCAAATGCTTGAGGCTGAAATGAAAAAACCGGCCAAACAAAACTACGATGGTTTATTAGAAGAGCTTAATCGTTCGGAAAGGTAATCCATCATTTACATAAAACATATTGCGAGAAAGAATTTATGGTAATAATTAAAAATGTTTACCCACCTCATTTCAGCCCATACAGGTTGTCGGCAAAGCAACGTGATTCACATCTATTGGCCTATGATGATATAGTGCCACCATTCACGCAACGCAGCATTTCAATGGGTAAATCATCATCGTCACGAAAATCCAGCGAAACGGAAAATTCACTACCGATTCCCATGCACACCCGGGCTGCGTCAACGCCAGCCCATATGGAAGCACCACGAGACGAAGCCGTACATGCATATCATAAACGTTTCCCGAGCTGCGTTGAAACATCACCGCGAAAAGAAACGAAAAAATTCTCCGCCGACCATTATATCGTACGAAATGCAGACGATCGCCATAGTAAACGTGCAATGTCCGAAACAAAAGAGAAACTCACCAAACGGAATGCATCATCGCCGGGCGCAATATCGCTGTTGAGCAACGCCGAAAAAATGAATCGTTTTGATGAGCGTGGTGGCAAAGCGCCAATGAAACACAATCAATCATTGCCGCTCAAAGCGACCCCGGAACTATTGGCCGAACTATTGAGAGGCTCCAGCGAAAAAATGACTACGGCCGAACAACATGAACGAAATGAAAAAGTGATAAATATGGATGCGTATGCACTTCCTATGGCTGTTCAACAGTTTTTGGTAAGTGTTGCTTTTTTTCCCTGTTGCTCTATTTACTATTTCCACATCGTTTGGAATTCAATTTCGGTTGCGCTGTTTCCTATATATGCGCGATATGGCAAACGGCTGAAACAACGTGCACGAATTGCGCACACACACACACCGTAGTTAAACCTTCAGAAATAGAATACCCAATGTTTGTGAATCAGTACAAACAAATATGACCTACTCTACGTTTCTGCAACAACAACAACAACAACAAACGGACCGACACTCGCCATTCGAGAGTTTTTGCGATTTTTTCTTTTCGTTCTGCTGTTTTGAATCGCACACACATCTCTCTCTCTCTCTCTCTCTCTCTCTCTCTCTCTGTGATGTTTGAAATCGCACAGCCGATTCGAAATCAAATTGCAATGAATATTCAGAAATTTCTATCATTTACACGATGCAACTGTTCAAAACAACTATCGTCTTACTTCGCGCTATGCATTTGGATGTTTGAGCGCAAAAATTTGCAATTGCCGGATGAATCATCAAACAGTTTTTTGGGGCCAATTTTATGTGAGTGATGAAAATATTCGCGCGAAAACACATAACGAAAGCAATGAAACCAAAACGACAAAATAAACAGTGGCATTTAAATAAAGTTGAAGCAACAAATTCTGGCTAATTTCTGCCAACGGTGCTTATGAGCAGGAAACAAATCTCACTCAAACACATACACTGCGAGCTGGCGAGCGAGCGAGCAATGTGATAGGCTGTGAGTGAATGTTTTTGAGAGAGACTCGAATTTTCCGATTGGAACAAATGCCCAACTTTCCATTCGGTACATGCGCTCTGAATCGTTGGAGTGGCCACATTCATCCGATGCCAAGTGTTGTGTTTATCATATTGTGAAAGGGAAAAAAGATGGAAAAGACATACACTTTTTAAATCTCATATCATCAAGAAGTTTCGGAACAAATTTCATTTAAAAATTTCATTCCTCAAATTTGTTTACAATGGCCCTTACTGTTTTCATATTACGCATCCCATGAAAGACATAATAGAATTGAGCAAATTTTTTGCCTTTTTTCCCTTTTGCACGAGCAAAAATTCCAAAGAATCATTTACACATGCACACTCTTGAAAATGATGAAAAGTTCCCATGTATCTTCTCAGTGACACCACCACCAGCAGCAGTACGCATTGCGTTTGCGTTTGAGCGAGCTAAGTCAGAAGCAAGTGGAAAAAATTTCCAATCGATGCATCATTTAGAAAACTAGCCATTTTTTTTTACTCAAATTGAGTGAAGTATCCTATAACGACGCTGTCTTTCCACGTTCAAGCTTTATGCTTGTCGACACAAAACAGAGTCGAACTGGGAACAAAGCTTTCTTCTATTTGTAGATTTTCACTCATGGGAAAATGTCGACATCCAGATGAACAAGGCTGGCAGGTCGAAGCGAACATAGGATTCAGTTAGGCATCGCTACGCGTCGACATTACATTTCTATTTTGCTTGCACTTTGCGTATTCGTAGTTTTGTTTTTTTTTTCTGTTGGTTCTATTATGTGCTCAATTCACAGTGTGTGGTTCAATGGAATCCGAAAAAAGTGTCTATTTCGACCAAAAGCATAAATCAAACGATTAGTGTTGAATAGCCAGCAAGCCAAACGGGCTGCACAATAAAAAAAAAAGAAAGAAAACAAATTGGAAAAGTCCTCGTTTATTTCCCGTGTGAGCAGTGACAAAAAAAACGCTCTCGTTCGTAAAACAGCCACAAGAAAAGTTTTTCTATCTAAATTGTTTTGTGTAAATGTTTGGTTTTTTTTGCTACACCCCTGAATGGCGATTTTATTGCTATTTTAATTGCCATTTCCGTGGTGGCAATATCCATTTACTCGTTTACTTAACGAAAACTTGTATTAGTTTGTCTGATGTTTTGCTCTGCTATGGTTCAATCTATAAGCGTTGTGGTGTGAATTCATATGTGAAGTGATTAAAAAGTCGTTGTGTAATTCAGAATTTGCACAATGCGAAAACGCCTTGGGCAACACAAATCTATAATAGTTTTGGTTAACTAACGAATTTCACATAAGTTATGTGTTTGTGTGCATGCCACTCAGCATCACCGAGCTATAGACGATTCTTTTTTCCTTGTGAGAGCGAAAGAGCATTACTAAAGAGATTGCATAAATTTGTTACATTATTATCGAACGTGGTGAAAAAAATTCCAAGAAGAATAAAAATAAAAACGAAACGCACATGATTATATTGATTAGCTGTTCGCATTGAAACTGATTATTTGTTGAACAACAAATGCCCGTGTGACGCAAATAAATCTGCTACTTTCCATCCGGTGGTGAAGCTTTTTAGCATATAAATGGTCTCGGCGCTTTTTTCCCCTTCTCTCCGCATGCTTATCCCATTAATCGATTTGTGGCTTTTGATAATATCGATTGTATCGCTTTTTTAAACAGATAGAAGATCGATACAGCGGAGAGAGAAAAACAACCAATCCGTGCTGAAACGATTCCATTCTTTCTTTTTTATCCCGTTTTTATGTGTTCACATCCACTGATTCATCGCTCATTGAAACTATCAAAATGCTGTGTTTTTATTGGAGAGCCCGCTGTTCATGTTCAATGGATAAAGAGATGTAATAAGACTCGAAATGGCTGTATAAAAAGCTTAGAAGCAGTGCGCGCGTGTTTCTACATCAATCGAATTTATTTTGCTCCTTCTTTAAGTCTCTCTTTTTCTCTTTCTTTCTTTCTCCCCCTACCTCATTATTTGCTGCTTGTATTTGATCAGCACACGAGAGCGAAAAAAAAATGCCATAAAATCGATAATTTTGATGTGTCGCATGTATAAAATCTTCATAATTCTTTGCGGTGTATTTTTTTCGTTCGCTTGGCAAATAGAAGTTGAAACGAAACATAAATCGATATTGAAACGCAAAAGAATAATTTAATGGTAAATGATTTGAGCTTATTTGGAATCAAAGCATCGGAATGTTTTACTGTAGACGACGACGACGACGATGTGGATAAAATAATTGAACAAGTTTTTTTTTTACTTTCATATTTTTACACGCTTCAGTTTACTCTTTCTACTCTGGATGCGTGTTTGTCGTGTGATTGTAAGTGGCATGTGTATGTGATGCAAACGTAGGGTAAAACGAAAACTGAACGCACACACCAAAGAAAAAAGAACGCGAGAGACATTGCAAGCGAGAGATTTTCCAACGGCGTCAAGTCAATCCACTACCAACAACAACAACAATGCTAACAATAAAAGAAAAACACAAGCCAGGCAACATACAAATTGATAGAGGGTAGACTTTATGTTTTGGCACATGTGGAAGAGAGAGGGAGGGGGAGAGGGAGAGCAGAAGAGGAGAGCGTACGATAAATGCATGCGTCTGTGATATGTCGTTTGCTTCGAATTGTCGCGTGTGGGTGCTTGGCCTAGAAAATTTTTCACGCGTGTTACGATTTTCATATGTGTCGTTCGTTTCCCGTTCGCTACTCTTTCGCTATTCTCCCATTTGATGTGCTTGCAGTGAATGCTGTGGAAACATCCATTGATTCTCTCGGTGATCGTTTTATTACTCTTTCTCTCCGAATGGCTCGTACCTGCTGCATACACTAAATTCCATTAGGTGCTCGCAATGAACAAAGGATTATATTGTGATAAATCTTTTCATCTCTATGGATTTATCGAAGGAAAAAAAAACGTAAACTAATTTCGATGATTGGAAATCTTCGATAGGAACATAAAATGTGGTGAAATAAAAGCGAAAAAATATCCTGTATTCTATGCACAATAAAACGAAACGTGTGCGTTGGTAAACAAATGGTCTCTTTCGAAAGGTGTCACCTATTTCTTCTTGTATTATTCTAAGTGACGTACTACTTGCTTTAAATATGAGGTTCATTTACTTTTGTTGAAATAAGCACGTTTTCATTTGCCCTTGGAAAATATTTCGGACCTTGTCCATAGCACTAAACGGTGTATTCACTTTTATTTATTCGAACGATTTGCTCTCCGCCAATACACAATGGAAACTCAATCAGCTGCGATAATATTACGCAATTTCATGTACGCAAATTGAATATATTTTCAGTGGAAATCGATCACACGAACCAATCCACCATCAGCGCAAACACCACATGCACAGGAAACGTTCGGAAAAATTTAATTCGCATTATATTTATTGCGCTGCATTCGAAACGCGCGCATCGAATAGGAAAAACACCGACGAACATCAAACATTTCATATTGTAAATTAGGCAACGTTATATTGACTTCGGTTCGTTCGTTCATTCGGTTCGAATTTTAATGTTGTGTTATCTCGTGTGAAACACGTTCATCGATTCGTTATTATGATAAGGCGAGCTTGTACATAAAAGTCCTCCCTCTCGTTCGATATGGATTTTATTTGGTTTCAAAAGCGACGCAACAAGCAAATCAATACAAAACACCATAAACAACGATTCAATATAATATAGATTTGGTGTTCATTTAATCTTAAACTCTCGATGTGTATACATTCACTAGCTATAAGCTGCGGTATATTGTTTTGGCTTTTGAATCAATTTCGGTTTTGCGTATTTCGTCATTGACAAATCCCCAGCACTTTTGAAAATATTCATTTTACTTTGCATCGAACAAGGTGGAACAGAGAAAGAAGTAGAGAGAAAAAGAGACAGTAAATGGATAGACTGGAAACGAAATGAATCGGTTAGAATAATCTTGACCTACCAATTTTTCGTAAAATAAAACCGAAACATAAAGTTGGTTTAAAATAGTAGAGAAACATAGAAAAATATGTGTTAAATTGAAATATTCTGAGCCGTCAATTGTACAAGTAATGATTTTTATTGATAATGCTAACCCCCCGTGTAAAACGTAGAAACGGTTCGTAAGGTACCTTTGCATATACCTTGTGTATACATTCATAGGCATGAATGGTTTTTTCTTTTCATCCTGTCTTTCGCAAATGTTTACAGCAAAAAAAAAAACAATATTCGTTC